TGTTGCACGTCATTAGGTTGAGTAGTGGTTTGCAGGAATATAGACTGTAAACAAATACACCGTCATGCACCTCTTTGCAGATCTGTGAACACATTTCTTGATGTATTGTGGTATCAACAAATATTTTTTCAAAAACAGCTCCATAATTTACTGCTACAAATTGAAGCAACGTTCAAAATCCGAATTTTTAGTATTGACTGTCAATCATTTCTATTGGAGCTGATTCCTTCAGCTTCATCAAAAAGTTAATTTTGTGTTGAAGACTTAAAATAATCCGCTCTGCAACACTAAATTACTGCTAACATTTCATTCAGCAGGAAGTTTAACAATGTTTTCCCATAATGCCAATCAAGCTGACATTATTTAGCTTCAGCATTACAAAGCAAACTTGAAGCGGTGATGAAGCCCAGATCAGTCACTGCATTATTGGTATCAGTATATCAGCGTCAGGCTGTTTATCACATTATATCTACATTATGATGATGCACAAGTTTAATTACAGATGGATGGATGCTTCATTCATCTCTCCTGCTGCTGACGTCTTGATTAAAAACGTTTAAAGGATTATCCATGGGACTCCCATTTGTGTCCTTGTGTTTGTCTTTTCAACTTTCATCCACTCGCCTGATTTATTCTCTCCGTCTATAAATAAGACGACAGGGCCCATGTGATGGATTAGACTGTTGACATTGTACCAACTGCAGGTAAACAATTACTATTCATGCTTCATCGTCGCTGAATCTATAGCAGGATGCTGCCACTTAGCACGGGGCAAAAGGTTAGCTTCAAGCTATTGTTCTGAATCTGGTCAAATGTCATTCATTCATAATTTCCTGCAGTAACAGAAAATTTGAAGTTTTCGGTGGAAAGGACAGAGCTGTGTGCAGCAGTGAGGGTTCCTGGTATATGAAAAACATTATTAGGAATTTAATGAAACAGGTGAGTCATGTGAAGAACAACAGGCCTGAATCACATCAACACTTAAGATGAGAGTCTGTTGGTCCCACAGTTGTGCAGCCGTAGCTTTTATCTGTTTTCATTTACAATCACATCCCACTAAAAAACACAAATAAGTCAAATATTACAAATTAAATATTTCAAGGGATGACAACAATAGGAAAACCAAATAATTAACCTTTCAAAAATATTAAAGCTTAACTTAAGGCTCATCCTTGCTTATGTTTTTATAAAATTTTTACCTGTGGACAGCCTTTTAACTAATACATTCAGAGGGGCGTTATGAATTTCCCTTTGGGTATCAATGAAGTTCTTCTTATTTTATCTTATATCTTATCTTATCAGGCTTAACCAGAACCTCTGAACAGCTTGTTCTTCTGGTTGTAAAAGAAAAGCTCAGAAATATATCCTCTCTTTCCAGAACCAAGGGCTGTAGAAAACAGACAACAACGTAGCTGTTAGAGCTTGCCACTTTACTGATGACTCTTTTGTAAACAAAGGCAAGTAGGAGCTGGATTTGGGTCTCAGCGGTTACTGAAACCTGGGGCTGTTCATCTAGAAAGACAGTCATGAAGCTCAGAGACACAAACTGCGAAGCGGAAACTTTCTGGTCATTTTGTGACTTGTGTGTAAAGGTGTGTAAAAAGTAACACCCACAATCTGTGTCCAACTTTGTATAAGTGGAAAGGCAGGCAAAATGAAGGCAGACGCTGGGTAGTGCTGCAGGGCTGCCACCCTCCTCTTTACCATAAGCAGGCGGAGTAAACACAGCCAGTCTTCAGTGCAAGTCCAGTTAATTAAAAATCATAATCTGTGTTGGTTAAATGTAGTTAGCTTACTAACTGAGTTCAAGGTGTTTAAGATCGAGTCAGTTAAACAAGAATAAAGCAGATAAATTAGATAATTTGCTGCTGGGATTTGTTCAAATGCCAAATCTGGAATAAAAAAGGGAAAAGAGGAAAAAACAAAAACAAACAAACAAACAAACAAACAAACAAACAAACAAAAAAACACTCAACGGCAGTATTGATGAGTTCCGGAAGTCATGACAGAGTCTCGATAACAGTATCAGTATCAGTAACTCTTACAGTAACCATCCCCCATCCTTATTTATATATATCTCTCGCACTTTAAGCAACTTTTCCAATCCCATATGATGATAACGCTTAACAACAATATTAGAAAAGTCTAAGAAAATACTACAAGCATAATTTTCTTCTTATATTGACTGTAACCACTTCTGTTTGAATGTCACCGCAGGGTGTGTACGTTACCTCAGAGTGTATGTATGTTACTGTAGAGTGTGTATTTGTGTGTCAGTTACTTCAGTGTGTGTGTGTGTTTGTAAGTGACTGTAGTGTGTGCAAAGTATCCATTTAGGTTGTAAAACACACACTTTTACGACCACATCCAGCCCTCTCACACGTCACTCATTGTTTATTCAGAGTCCAGTGTTGCTCCGACCTCAGCCCCCTGTGGGCGGATCAGTCTGGGGCCATTATGCTGATACGAGCAGTGAGTCACTGGGAGAGAAAGAGGGGGTTAATGTGTGTGTGTGTGTGTGTGTGTGTGTGTGTGTGTGTGTGTGTGTGTGTGTGTGTCTGTGTGTGTGTGTGTGTCTGTGTGTGTGTTGTGGGCCTACATCTGTCACAGTGTGATTACAGTGCTGTGGAGTTTATGAAACAGCCTCTGTATCAACAATTATTCATGTCCCTCAGGCCTCGGAGTGAAAGGCCTTTCTCAGACTGTGGAGAAGAGGATTAGAGCGACTACTATGAGGAAAACATGTCGCACACTTTTTCATTCACACCCTCTTTTTCTCACAAACATGATTTGTTTGCTGGCTCAGATTTAACCAGATTGCTTTTGTTTCGTTTTGTTCCGGCTGCATGAATCAAAGAGAAATATTGGAGTTTAAACTCAGAAAAAATGAGAGTGACAGAGACGGTCACATGAGACACAGATCATGACCATATTTGGTCATATCCTATCTTACTGTCTGTTGAGGATGTGTTTCTCTTCCTGGAAGACAACTTCAGTTTGATGGATCTGTGTGGTTCATCACAACTTTAACCCAAGGGTGCTGCCAGGGATTTTCGGGCCTGTGGGTAAAAACTAAATTAATCCTGGTAAAATTATAACAATTACGTTAAAAAGATCCCTGTCAGTCACTAATCTTATGAAAACTGACCAAACTTTCCCCCTAAAAGGATTTTATTGCTTTAAAAGCTAGCATATAGAAACCAAGAATTACTCAGACATACTCACAGCGACCGGTGGTTTAGAGTGACTCATTAACCTGACAAGCATGATTTTGGACTGCTGGGGAATGCCAGACTAATCAGAAAGAACTGACACATGCAAACTACACACACAAAGGTTCCTGCCCCACTAAGGATTCAAACCAGGACCTTTTTTTTATTTGCTATGGGGCAACAGTGCTGACCACTGCACCATCATACAGCCACCAACCAGCAATATCTTTTAAGTACACTTTTTGAAATTGTGCCTAAAATGAGCAGAAGCTTATCCTGTCCCACTAGTTTTCTGTCTAGTTATGAAATTGAGAATTATTAAGTCATATTAAACCAAAAGGTAAAATCTTGCTTACAAATATATATGAAAAGTAATACAATTTTAAACAGATGTATCTGTTTCATTTGCCTGCACATCAACATAAAATAAATGCTGGAGGCAACTAGACAGTCACAAGAGAAAAAGGTTAAATAAGATATTCTCTATCTTCTCAGGGTTAAATTATCTGTGAAGATATTTGGGATTTGAGAGAGAGATCATGCATATGCAAAAAGGTGTGATTGATTAATATTATCATACTGGTCATATGAAAGACAGATTTTTTTTTATGATGGTCAAAGTCAGGGTTACGGTGCAGTTAGTAAACCCTCTGAGGCTGATGCTGTTGAATAGAATGAAAAATTACAGTGTTTACTATATTTAGAAAAGTCAAAAAGTATGACTCACTGCTGTAAAATCCACTCACTCTGTGAGACTGGCAGCTCCACAGCATTCAACTCTGAGTGTTTGTGTAACATCCAGGGTAGGGTAATCATACGTCCTCTTTCACCCGGACATGTCCTCTTTTTTGGGGATTGTCTGGCTTTGTCCGAGGAAGTTTATACAATCCTTCAAATGTCCGCAATTTTGTATGTAACTTTCGAGTTTGTGTCATGTTGCCTTTCTGAGTTAGAAGCGTGTAAAAGACACTCAATCCGACCCGAAAACTCTCAAAATTAACTTTTTGCGACTCTGTGACTCCGCCCCCGCGTGGTTGTGTCCTCTTTTTGGGGAGTCAGAATATGGTCACCCTAATCCAGGGACTTTTATATCCGACAGCAAATATCAGACCACTTGAGAGACCGTCCAGATCCAGTCAATCACAAATAAAGGTAACAAAAGTAATCTGTGAGGATTCATGGGTAAATTTGAGAAAAAAGTGTTGCTTTTGTCGTTAGCTAACTATGCTAGGAAGAGGCTGCCATGTTTGTTTTGTTCTTTTCAAGGTTCAGAGGTTGTTTCTGCGATCAGCTGACTAGAGGTCCAGTTCAATGAGTGCAGCTTGAGGCCTAATCCATATGCAGGCGAGTGGACTTTTTTGTTTAGATGCTAGCAGAGTTTTAAGAGGCGAAAGTGAAAGATTTTTGAAAACACTGTGATCTGTGGATTCATGCTGACAGCACAAACAGGAGTTTTGAAACATGCTTAAATGAGCACATGGCATTTGCTTGTATGATAAGAGCAGGGGCCATATTAGTGAATTTATGATGTATGTCTGCCTGGTACTCAGTTTTACTTCATGTTTTTAGGGGAAACTAGCTTTTCCTTTCACATCGTGTTGCAGGGCAGAGACAAATTGATTTATCAAGTTAAGTCATTTTTAATTCTTTCAATGATTTCAATGTTCACCCTCAAAAATGAATCAACATACAATTGTTTGAGAAATGACCCTGTGATGGTTTTAATTTAGCTTTACATGATATTTTCCCTTCAAATACAGCCTCAAAACGATCTCATTAGACAACCACTTAATTGCGACCTGCTAACCTCCACCATGAGACCCACTCTGAGATGAAACAAAGCGTCAGCGATGGCTGCTCACATGGTCGAAGCTCCTGCAGGTGTTTGTGTGGTGACATGTTAACAGACAGTGACAGCGGCAGGCTGCTGTTTGGACTCAGCTGTGATGGAGGGACAAGCTGCGGCCTGTGGTTCATCTGCTGAGACATTACTGGGACATCTGAGAGTGAGGAGGCGTGATGGTGTGTCACCTGACGCTGCCGTGCTGTGACAGGCCAAGGCACCTCCATGGAGGAGTTCTGATGGTCACACACCATCAGCTCCTCTCACTCAGTTTCTCCAGGAGTCACTGCCTGGAGAAACTGAGGATCTGTAGCTCTGTGTTTTTTTGTCAGAGGAAATTAAGTTATTCAGAGTTAACAGAGAATAAATCAATGACTCTTATGAACGTTTAGACTGTTTTTCTCGTTATATGTGGCTTGTGAAACCTAATTTATGATAAAGCAAGTCTAAGCCTGAATGAACTCACGAAGAAGAAAGAAATAATAAAAAATAAAAATTTTTTACTATGTAGTGATGAAAACACTGTTTGATAATATTCAGAGCACTTCTGTCCCAACTTCCTCATAATTTATCATTATGAGGATCATCATTATTAGGATCATTATACACTCTGGCTTGAGTTAATTTTGTAATTTGGCATCAGTTTGTTTACATGTTGATAAAAAATCCACTCAGGTGTTAGTCCGACTGAATCTGGATTTTTAAAATACATGTGAACATGTTAGTCGGATTGAAATCAGACTAACTCAAATTTCTCAAAGGGGAACTTAAGTACCTACATGATGGGGTTGTTGGATTTTTGCCTCATGTTTACGCCTCAGACAGACTCAGACTGGCCTCAGTGTTCTGAGCATGCCCCGCAGTTTGCGTGTCAGGCTTTGACCCAGAAGTTGCACATTGTAAATCCATGGCTATTAGGCTGGGAAGTAATTGTACGAGAAAGACTCAATGTCATCGTTTACAAAAGGTTCAGAGTTGTAAAGTGTTGTAGTGGCAACTCTGGGTCTGCAGAAAAAAAGCCAAGGCAGATGTGCTTTAAACTGCAGTTTCTCAAGGGTCCACTAGAGGGTGGCTGTAGAAGCGCCGTAAACCACATACACACTCAGGCAAAAAAAGCCCAAATGATTTAGTTAAAAAAACTGTATAGCCTATAACCCATTAGTCTCAAAGAAATGAAGGATACAGGATCGTGGAATGAGAGGCACGGCTGACTTGACTGACTGTAGCTGTTTGTGAGGAGGCTAAAGGTCCACCTCTGGTAGGTTACCTAAAAGTTAAGTGGAGTCAACATTACCAATACGATTATCATCATCATACGTTTTACAAAGAAACAGGTGACATCACTGATGCCACATCCAGTTTTTATACAGTCTATGGTTTTGTTGATTGTTTTGGTACGTCAACTGGGAGACAACCCAGTAGTAACAAGCTGAAAGAGGGCACATCCACCTGGATTAGCAGAGGTGGGCATGGCTCTATTAAAAAATGTATTCTTGCACTATGCTTGTAAAGCCGAACAGTTAAATCACCTAATCCAACTATAACTGTAACTCACTTAAACTGACTGCAGGATAAAATAATAGAGACAAAGCTGTAAAAATATTCACTTACTTAGTATAATATTCACTTAGAAATGGTCACCAGGGAGTCTCTGCACTGGAACAAATATAGTCTAACTCACTGCCTGTGAATATGTTGTCATTACAAGAAGAAAACATGTAATCCAGTGATCCATAGAGGTGCTGGTAGGCAGATTATGTTTCCGTCACAGAGAGCTGTCTCCACTGTTCCCGGTCTCTGTGTTCTGGTTTTAGCTTTATCATTTATCGTTAAATACCCTCTCCTCTTTTCTTCTGCAGAGTGTCAGCAGGTGACTGGTTTGTTTGCCACCCTGGCTGTCAGGTTAGCATATAGGTCAGAAACAGGATTTGTTGGACAGCTGCTCATGTTGTAAATATTGATTATAGTGTAGTGGACCACAGGGGAAACATGTGAATTGTTAAAGTGAGCCGTAAAGGCCTGTAAGTGCTGTGTTTGCTTTAAACATTAACCTGTAACAGCCTGCAGCATGTATGTAGTTGGGCGCTTCCAGGTATTGTACATCTGTTTCCTTTCTACTGAGAGATGAATTACAAGATTTACCGTTTATCTATTGTTACAATCTGCAGCCTTAAGACTCCTCTGTGTGTTTTTGTGTGCTTCAGTACAGTTTGAACCCTGGGAGTGTGTATCGACACGTGTCTGTAAAGACAACAGATTGTCCGGAGAGTCTCAGGAGGGATCAGTTTCATGCACCTCCTCTTCCTCCTCCTCTAACCCTCAGGAATGGAAGACATTTCTTGTGAGAACAAACCTTTAATTGTCTGCCCTGTCGACATGTAAGGGAAGTGATGCGTTATATTATATCATCACTCTCCCTGACGTCCCCTCAATGACCCCAGAATCAGCTATTCAGCTAAATGGACCTTTTGTCTCTCTTGTTTTAATCTGAATTCTGCCATCAGGCTAAATATGGCCGTGAAATCCTCCCAAATCTGTCTTTTTAAATCAGTCCTTGTGTCTACTTCAGGGACGTCACAGCTATCTGATCAGGATTGACACAGACTCCTGCTGCAGTCTGCTCCTCAGGGCCTCGGTCAATAGTGAACATCCACCATCGGGCTCCAGCCTTAAACCCTCTCTGCTTTATCTTTATTGTTCCTCCTCTTTGCAGCAGCACCAGAGGGGAGAGCTGAGGAGAGACTGCAGCTGAGTGTCCATACTGACTGAATTACCCTTCACCCTGTGAGGGTGCATGTTTGGGTCAGTTACTATCGACAAGTCTCTGCCAAGCTGTGGAGTGGCTGCAGGGAAGAAGGGAGGCATTGTTGTCTATTTTGTGCTGCTATTATCAGGCCAAATGTTGCTGCAGTTTCACAAGACAGCAAAAAAAAAAAAAAAACAAAAAAACATTGAGACACAAAGAAAGTTCAGTCGGGACCACTTTAGCCAAAGATAATGTCTAATTGCATGCAACAGACCTGACACAAAACATCCATACTGACAATCATCTGTAAAAAACAGAGAAAAATGAGTGCTGAGAATAAACATAAAGTTAGCTAACTAGATTGTAACTCATTTGATTTTGTCGGGGGCTGTAGGGAGAAGCAGGAGCAGATAGCTTCTTGAGCTTTCTGCCTTGTTAAACAATTTTTCTTTGCTTATGCAACTTACTTAAAGCTGACAAACAGCAGGAACTTCTTTAGAGAAGAGATGGCCACACAAGGAAGCGTTTGTGCTTTTATTTTTACATAATTTCTGTTAAAATATTAGATAAAACGGTCACAAAAAAATCTTTCACGAGATATTATGTGACATGTGACAATGAGAGTAGGAAGTAGTATTTGGTGGTATGGTTCTGTTCTGAGCGTTTTCTACCCTTTCAAGTGCATTTGTGGATTACTGAAGCCTGAGGCAGTGGTGCACACCTTCTCTCCATTTCATGTTAATACATAAAAAGCCAGTGCAGGTAGAGTTGCAGCAAAGATTCCCTAGGTTGCGCTCCTCACCCTTCCATGTGCATTGAGGTGGATTGCAAAAGCTCCAGATGAAAAGAACATACCATGTCTTTATTTTATGTGTATATTCATGAAAAGCCAAGGCAGGTAGAGCAGTAGCAAAGACCCCTGACATCAGTACAGACATCAGTAGTTAAATTTAGATACAGCGTAAAAAGGAAGAGTTTGGGTTCTGAGGGGTTTGCAGAGGAAGCAGGAGGAGTAGGCAGGCTGAAGCCATTTAAGTAGAACAACCAATGTTGTATGTATATATAGGATGTGTTATCCGCTGAGCTGTCTGCTGATATGGACTGGCATTAAGATCAGCTAAAGTACCATGGGCTGAGCTTGACTTCATGGCCTGCCTGAACTAACACTATGCTCAATGAACGTGAGCAGTCAAATTTCCCCTCACATTGTCAGCATCAGGCTGCTCTTCTCTCGTCTTGGTGGGGGGCACACATTTTCTCCAGTGACTGACAGCTAAATAAGCTGTGGAATTACAATGCTGTTTCTCCTTTGTCCATGTTGCCTTACACTGGCTGGGTTTGTATCGGATAACTAATTAGGCAAAGAAAGTAAAGTGCGAAATCTTGCACCGCTGAAAGGTTTGAGTAGGGGGGGCGGCGGCAATGCATTCTCAGACAAGCGGCTGTTTGGTGGACCTTATTGATTCAGAGGCAGAGGCAGAGATCAATGAAAAGAAACAGACTGAGACAAAGAGTGGCATTTAAGGGTGGAAAAAGCTGACATTTTCTCCATCACTGTCACAGCCGCGGCCATAAAGCAGCCGCAAATATTAAAACATTTCTCATCCGCGCGGGAGTATTGGCAGCAGAAATTGTTTTCTCCGCGGTGTGATACTCAGGCTGAACTCCCAGCAGAATCCCTGGGGACTGCAGATTGGTGCCGGTGACATATCGGCACCAGCGTTTACACACACCTGCCACTCATCCCCAAACAGCCCAGGAGCAGGGCTGCAGAGGGCAGATAGCAGACGAGGAGGCTGACGCTTGGACCGCTGTCAAGGTGGGGAGGTGTGGTGGAATTCATCACTGATAACACGCTTATGTTTGCAGGCCGCATAGAGAGCTTCTATTAGTCAGCACTGCCCTCCACTCTGTGTGCAGCCTCAGTGTAATAATGAGCACGTGTGCATATGGTGGTTCTTATCTGTGCTTATGTGCGTTGGTTTCCTTGCAGCACAGGCATATGTGCAAATATAATGTGTGTTTATGTGTGTGCCGTAACCCCCTTGTGTGTAATTATGAGTGTGTCCTGTCCTTCGAGTGCACTCCTTGAGTCTTGAACTCTGAGTGACACGGGTACTGCAGGGTCATGTGTCTATTTGTGGGATAAATGATATTATGCCGCACTAAAAGAATTACGAAGAGGATGTCCCTTGGAGTCACCAGCTCAGCCATCAGTCATAGTTACTTTGCGCGTCTCCAAAGCCCCTCTATCTGTACTCATCCACTGGTCTGGAACGGGTGTTAAATGGATCCTCGACCACATCCTGTCATTATGAGCTCATGATTTGAGTCTCATGATGGAGAGAGAAGAAGCATGGAGTGTAATTAAGAGGAAGAGTTTTCTGAAAACACAGAGTACATTTGTTTCCCTTCTTTCGCACCAAAGCAGGATCACACACCTTCCTCTCTTTTTGGCTCTAAATTGTCCACTTTCCCTCC